CACTTAACCCTACCCGTACGTCGTGTTTTACTATCGTATCCATACGACATGGGGAACTCTGTGCCACCACTTTCCAAAGAGGAAATTTCCTCGTTAATCCGATCTTTGCATACCAGTCTGTCTAAACGATTTTTTAAGAAATACTGAAAGTTTCATAAAAATCTTCGCACTAGAAGTATTCTGCAATGTGAAGTATTCTGCAATGTGAAGTATTCTGCAATGTGAAGTATTCTGCAATGTGAAGTATTCTGCAATGTGAAGTATTCTGCAATGTGAAGAAAACAACCCCGGGGGGAACAATATGACCCCAGGGCGTACGGCAGGGAAAACTTCAGCTCATCCACCTTGCCTTTATTACAACCGTTTATTTTTTGCGAGGCTCTTTCACGTCTTCTCAGTTTGTTGTTTATTTTATGCAAACTGATTAAATAGGAGCGGAGATTCGGGGATATTGTGATGCTGCAAAATCAGAGGACAAAGGTGGACGTGTACAAAGGTGACCTACAACTTACGTCTTTTAGGAGTTTGGGAATGTATTTGCGCAATAGTTCGGTGAAAAAAAACCAACATCCTTTCGTTTCTTACTTACTTTCTTAGTTGGAGAATAGGCATCATAGCAGGTGGCACAATGCCATAGCTGCTCCTCCATACACTCCAGGATCCATGAAAGGGTCTGCCTGCTGATCGTGCCAGTTATCAGCTGGTTGGATATTCTTCTGGCTTTTCCACGTAGGTTACTGTCTCTCCCCAACCCTGTAGAAACACCGGCTTCCCTTAATCTATCCATTGTGTGTGAAGTGATACCTTCATCCTCTTTGTGGTCGTTGAATCAAGCTGTCAATGCTGCCATGACTGTTGGTAGATCTAATTGCATGGTGAAAAAAAAAAACATTAAAAGTTAATAAATGGGAATGTATTTGAGCAATAGTTGAATGGGGAAAAAATCCTTCCGTGAACAAATAGTTGATTGGAGGAAATTAAATGTGACTGAGCAGTAGTTGAAACTCCGTAATTTCCCAGTCCTGTCATGTACAACAACAGTTAGTTCCCCTGTTAGTCTCCCGCGCCCCCATCAATTATTCCGCTGGAATTCTCACGTTAATAAGAAACACCGACTTCACTCACCCCCCCCCCCCCCCACCCGAACCATGCGTCATAGGTACATTTAAAAAGTAAAAGTGTAAGTCTCAACAATGACGTCATGGGGAACATTGTCCACGCGTGTATATAAGAAAAGCTCGGTGAGGTCTCAACGTTTTCATTTCCACACTCTCCCTCAAGGTAAACATGACTGTCTTTTGTTTTGTAAATGAGATGGGATTTGCTTTTTGGGAAATTCAAGATAGCATGAAAAATGACCACAATACAACGATGCTGCTTTTGAAATGAAATCGAAAGCGATAAATCTAAACGGAATTTTTTTTTAAAACCGTTACATATTTGTTCCAAAGTTTGACTTGCACCATCTGCAATTCGACATTGTCATTGTGAGTAATTATGATATTGCAAAATAATATATCAAACAATAACGGATGAGTGGCATTAAGTGTTTGGTCTAGCACACATGTATTATTTTCTTCACAATTACTAAAGGGATATAAACAATCAGCAAACATGAAAGGCATAATTTATGGTTTTGCCCGTATTACTTTTTTTCTCATTAGGGCAATGGATAATATCAAACAACGTAAAATAAAAGGCGTTAGTTATTGTGTTTATCTAATGTTTATAGCTCCCCGTAATGTACATTGGTCGTATCAAACAATTCATGGGAGAGTCTCCTACTTGCCAAACCGGTGTGCTGTATGTTATGTATGCCTGTGACCTTAAACACTTAATAGAATACTTACCTACCTCCCTACCTCCCTACCTACCTACCCACCTATCTACCTATCTACCTGCCTACCTACCTACCTACCCACTCACCTACCTACCTACCTCCTTACTTACCTACCCACCTATCTACCTACCTACCTCCTTACTTACCTACCTACCTACGTCCTTACCTACCCACCTACCTCCCTACTTCCCTATCTCCTTACTTACCTACTCACCTATCTACCTACCTACCTACCTACCGCCTTACTTACCTACCTACCTCCTTACCTACACACCTACCTACCTATCTCCCTACTTACCTACCCATCTATCTACCTACCTACCTAATTACTTCCTTACCTACCCACCTATCTACCTACCTCCCTCCCACCTACCCACCCACCCACCTACCCACCTACCTACCCACCTATCTACCTCCCTACCTACCTCCCTCCCTACCTACCCACCCACCTACCTACCTATCTACCCACCTATCTCTTCTCTGACCTCAGGAAGCATGGCGCTGTTTTTCCTCTCTCCCGCCAACAACGACAGCAACAACAACCACAACAACAACCACAACAACACGACATGTGTCTTTGGCTGTGGGTCAACGACACTGGGTGACGACGAGGTCAAAACAATGACAACACTGATGATGACGACAACATCGATGATGACGACGACGACTCATCCCTTACAGAGCCAGGACTCCTCGGGCATAGACGAAGCCACCTTCCAAACGATCCGCTTTGTGTTCAGCGTGATTCTCTTCCCAGCCGTGGGCGTCATAGGCACTGTGTCCAATTTCTTCGCCATCGTGGTTTTGGCAAAGCAGGGCTTGACACATTCCAGCAATGTGTCCATGTTCAACATGGCGATAGCGGAGTTCCTAGTCTCAGCTCTCGTGCTCTGTGTCTACACCGACGGCCTTATTGGTAAATGTATATGTTTATATCGTCATTTGCTAAATCTGTTGAAGATTTGTCTTGGGTATGTCCTGTTGTTTCTTTCTGTTGCTGTTTGTTTGGAGGGGGGGGGATAAGCCTCCCCTCACGGGAATCTAATTCACGTCTTTTGTTTGGACGGCTAAGAGACTAAACGTTACACAACAGACATCGGTTTAAACATTCTGAAATTTAGGAAGCGTAAGTTGGAGTACGTCTACTCTTAGAGGATGCTGGTTATCAGTCAGCTAAACGTAATATTTATACCAAAATAAAACGTGTCCACCGAAAAAGCATATGAGTAGTCCACGGGGAAAGACAAGTTTCACCGTATACACATGAGTAGTCCACGGGAAAACGGGCATAGTCTAAAGCTGGAAATTGTGAGGGTGTCAATTGTGAAAGCTTGTGGACTCCTAACTTCACGACTGTTTTATTGGTGTTTTATTGTTATGTTTGAACAATGGGAAATCTAACAACAATAATCAACCAACGGTTGAACAAGTTATGAATCAACAAACGTTCAAAATTGATACTCTCACGATTTTTCCGTTTGTGTCTGTTCCCGTTTTACCTCATACATTTTCCTGCACTTAAATATAACCATATTTGGGCATTTGTCTGAAGGTGAGATCTTCATGACCTGAAAATTACTCGTCATTTTGATGGCAGCGGGGAACATTGTGGAGGAGTTTGGTGTCATGGGACAGCTCGCTGTACAATCCTGATGTTGCTGTTGTTTTGTGTGGGGGGGGGGGGGTGTAAGTGTTTTACGGCCCTTGCTACTACATAAGGTCATATGAACGCGCGGGACACATTAAACATTATCAGTTGCTAGGACATTTTGAATTTTGCCCGGGTGGCGGCCGAAGCCTACTCTTGTCGATTTTAGACCACCAAAGGATCTTAAACGTGCGCAACTTGCTCACTGGACCTCCCTTGTCCGAGAAGGTTAGGTGTAGATCTGACTTACCATAATATCAGGGGTGTAGCTGAAAGACAGCAGTAAGAAGGAGCCAAGGAGTAGCAGTAGAAAGGCTGCAGAAAGAGTCAGGAGCCCAGAGGAGGGGCAAAGGAGGTGAGGGGGTGGGGGCAGAAATTGCAGACGAAAGCAAATGACAGAAAATTACTAGAGAGCAGGAAAGGAGGAGAAAGGAGACAATTTAGAGAAGAAAATTGTCCGTCCCTCTCCGGATTCGAACCCGGGACCTGTTGAATGAGAGGCGAACACCTTAACCTCTTGGTCACTAGAGCCCCCTCTGGTGAAATC